AAACAATTGATACATTTGAGTACTTAAACGTAACGATTTTTTTCAGGAAACTGTTACAATTACAAAAATTGTTTCATTACTTAGATACGATTGCTTAAACTATGCTAAAATAATGAAGCAATCTTAAAATCATTAAAACTATCCGCTTATGTGCTTTCTTTAAAAGTTTCATTTGTTTTATCGAACAACAGATTTCTTGATTGTTACGCATTTTTCATCGACAACTTGTTTGGTTGCTTAGAAACGATGTTAACAATTGCTCAATCCAAATATAAAATTTATGAAAAACAAAACGTAAATCTTTAAAATAAATAACAATTAATACAATTGCACACTTTATCGTATATAATTGCTTAATTCATAATTAACATAATTAACAATCTAGTTTTGTTGACAAGTTGTTTGATAATAATTGAGTAATCTTCTGAAGTTTATTATCATCGTGAATAAAAAGAAAAACATCGAAAACTTTTAGATATTTAACAAAAATAGTATGAAAAGTGAAAATGTTTTAAATCATTTGTTTTAAAACAGCTTTCATAATTGTTACGCATTTTTAATCAACAAATTGTTTTGTTGCTTAGAAACGAAAGCGAAGCGAAATATATGTTTGAATCGAATTGTTTCAGGAAACTGTTAGAATTACAAAAATTGTTTCGTTACTTAGATACGATTGCTTAAACGATTATTACTTGATATTAAAAAAAAATATTGATGCTCACATGATCTTCAGAAATTTATTAAAGTTTTGAACACAAATAACACTGGATTTGCAACAATGTTCAAAAACAAAATGTATATTTACAATTGTTTTTTGGTTAATTACGAAATAGTTTAATAAGTATTTCTTGTTTATCATTTATATTTAGAAAAAAAAAATCTTAAACTTTTCATATATAATAATCCTATTGCGTTTAGTTAGAAAGTTAGAAGAAAAAAAAATGAAGAAAAGTAAGCTGTAGTTTGTAAATTTAGTTGAGCAATCTAAAAATCATTAAAACTATCTGCGTTTCACGAATTGCGAACATCGCGCAGAATGCAATAAGTTTCTTGATGGATGATGGATGGACGAGTGCCGTTGACCATGTAACGTGTTTGTTTTGGACACACACATTCTCTCCCCCTCGACAAACGTGTATTCATAGCAATGATTTGCGCAAATCTCAATTATTACAAAAAAAAAACGAACACCTGTTCTCGCCTCTCCTCTCATTCCCACAACCGATTTTCCTCCGCATCGCACTATTAATACGATCATTATTTGTCGCTTTAAATTTTTCTTTTCATTTTTTTTTCATTTTTCCGTCAAATATAAGTATTTTAGTGAGGGAATCTGTGGAGCGTGGGCGAACGACGAAAAAATGTGCCGAATAACCTACCTCACCTCGCAGTTGGCTAATCCAAAAAAAAAATATGTATTTAAAACAAATTGATTCTGAATTGTCGTCTATTAGTGAAGTCTATTAATTCAATTTAGTTTGCTTTTTTTTACTTATAATTTTCTATATTTTTTTTTGTTTCTCCCCTTCGAAGCAAACTCGAGCTCTTCTCGTGCCGAAAATTCGGCAGACCAGAACGGGCACCGCCGAGCGCGGTTTTATTCCAAAGTCCATAAACTATTTATACGCGCACTTTTGCACCAAATTCTTTGATCTAAATTCGAAAATGCCATTATCTGGTTATTACCTTGGATTTTCCCAGAACAAAGAAAGAAGAAAAATATCAGAAGAATTCCATTTCAATTGTTAAAACAAACTGAGTCACAGCTCACACACTTTTAATCAATGTAACACACAATTACCTTCATTTTGTTTTTAAATTGACTCAATTTCTATTTTACCAATTAACTTGCTTCCATATACTTAATTATGATTACTTATTTCAAATTATTAACAGAAAAATTAATCTATTAACTAATATCGAAAATATTGTAAAATTATACCGAGAGATGGCGTACTTATAATAATTACACATTTTCCGCGAGATGGCGTAACTCATGATATAATGTCTATACTTGTTGCCTCAGTGTTAAGAAATTTTGTTACCTTTGTGTGTCTGCAGATAAAACAGAGATCAAGCAGGATTACCTTCATTTTGTTTTTAAATTAACTCAATTTCTATTTTACCAATGAACTTGCTTCAATATACTTAATTATGATTACTTATTTCAAATTATTAACAGAAAAAATAACCTATTAACTAATATCGAAAATATTGTAAAATTATACCGAGAGATGGCGTACTTATAATAATTACACATTTTCCGTGAGATGATATAATGTCTATACTTGTTGCCTCAGTGTTAAGAAATTTTGTTACCTTTGTGTGTCTGCAGATAAAACAGAGATCAAGCAGGCAGATCATCGGAGCGTACAGGACCACCTTCGACAGCGTCTCGATATCTGCAAACTCGACGACATCTCTGCTCACCAATTCCTCGTGCGACTCGGATTCGAAACATTCCGACGAGTTTCAACGCTCCAGGGCGAAACAGATCACAAGGAGACGGGGCGCCGTCAAACATCAAAGGTAATCGAACATCTCCATCTATTGCCAACAATCTCAATACAACAAAGTGAAATCAAATAGTTGGTACAACTGATAAATAAAATTGACATTACGTCAAATAAATCAAAAAAAAAAATTGAAAAATAAGTAGTGAATAATAATAATTTTAATAGCCAATTATTTATTACGTCTATGAAAGAAAATTGCTTTCGAAAAGGTGCTTAAAATCCTATTTACTATTTATAGGACCGCAAATGACACCTGTCACTTAAATAAAAGTTATATTTAGTTTATTAAGTTGGCGATGATGCATGGTGTGCTGCGGCATTTAATCCCGATGAGTCAACTTGATATTACGAATAGCAAACTGGGAGATATAATATTAAACATACCAACCCCCAAAATTGTAACCAAAAAATAAAAGAAACTAGGTTATGGAAACTGTAAAAAGTTTTGCACGAATCGAACGTGCGTGTGTTGTTATCAACGCCCGCCCGATTTAAATAGATGGAATTCCGTGAATGCTGTTTACATAATCGAATTGCTTCACTTGTTTATCCCTCCGAGCAGAATTCCTCGAGGATCTTGAAAACGCGTATTTATAGACGAAGATCCTCTTCGTCTCGCCGTTCTTATGCAACTGGATTGCATCGGAATATTGCATGATTAACTCTCAACAAAACAAAAAAAAAAAACAATTTTTGTAGTTCATTCCTTTTTGTTTCTTTAAACAATGAAATTTATTTCCAAACGTTTTTATGTACACTCGCATTAACCTTAATGGTTGTTTGATTAAAACAAACGTTTTTATCATTTCGTTTGGATCATAAAAGATCTCCGGTTTTTTTTTTCAGGAAAGTTTGTTGAGAGTGCGAGAGACGAGGACGCGAGATTGCGAACGTTCTCGCACATGATTCACGCAGTTTTAACACCGATCCTCGCACACTCAATTTACTTTAAGCAGTGGAAAAATAAATACAACCGAGAAGATCTTATTTATTTTACGTTCTTTGAGGCTGTTTTTTTTTCTTTGGCCTTTTCGCTCTTTCTTAACCCGTTTCGTTCACGTTTCGAGCACATGTTGGATTACTCACAGTTGTATTTTTTTTTTAGAAAATTTTCATCAATAGATGGCGTCACTAAAATATTAATACTTATTTGAAATTTGTGAATGAATAAAATGTAAATTTATAATAATTTTGCAAAAGTTGATTAATTTAGTAAATGTTTGGATTATGTGTTGCATAACTACCCTTTATTTATTACTAAATTAAAACTTATATATTTAATTGTGGATTACTCACATTTGTATTTTTTTTTGGAAAATTTTCAGCAATAGATGGCGTCACTAAATTATTAATACTTATTTGAAATTTATGAATGAATGAATTGTAAATTTATAATAATTTTGCAAAAGTTGATTAATTTAGAAAGTGTTTAGATCTGATTGGATTATGTGTTGCATAACTACACTTTATTTGGGGGTTGCATAACAATAAAAATATGACTATTGTTAATTCAAATTAAGTTGGCGACAATTGAAACAAAACAAATTAAGCGACGTTTGTAATTATTATTACTTTTTGTTTGTAATTACTAAATTAAAACTTATATATTTAATTGTGGATTACTCACATTTGTATTTTTGTTTGTAAAATTTTCAGCAATAGATGGCGTCACTAAATTATTAATACTTATTTGAAATTTATGAATGAATGAATTGTAAATTTATAATAATTTTGCAAAAGTTGATTAATTTAGTAAGTGTTTGGATTATGTGTTGCATAACTACCCTTTATTTTGGGTTGCATAACAATTAAAATATGACTTGTTAATACGAATTAAGTTGGCGACAATTGAAACAAAACAAATTAAGCCACGTTTGTAATTATTATTACTTTTTCTTTACAATTACTAAATTAAAACTTATATATTTAATTGTGGATTACTCACATTTGTATTTTTGTTTGTAAAATTTTCATCAATAGATGGCGTCACTAAATTATTAAAACTTATTTGAAATTTATGAATGAATGAAGTTTAAATTTATAATAATTTTGCAAAAGTTGATTAATTTAGTAAGTGTTTGGATTATTGTGTTTGGATTATGTGTTGCATAACTACCCTTTATTTGGGGGTTGCATAACAATTAAAATATGACTTTTGTTAATACGAATTAAGTTGGCGACAATTGAAACAAAACAAATTAAGCGACGTTTGTAATTATTATTACTTTTTTTTGTAATTACTAAATTAAAACTTATATATTTAATTGTGGATTACTCACATTTGTATTTTTGTTTGTAAAATTTTCAGCAATAGATGGCGTCACTAAATTATTAATACTTATTTGAAATTTATGAATGAATGAATTGTAAATTTATAATAATTTTGCAAAAGTTGATTAATTTAGTAAGTGTTTGGATTATGTG